ATCCTCTGAGGCTGAGAGTGTGTGACATGCCCAGGGTCACTTACTTGCAAATTTTACATACCCCAGAATGCATCAGTATATTGGCAGTCCTTCCCCCCAAAACTTTCTCATTTTCTCCCAATCATCTCATAGCTGGGAGATGGAAATAATTTTTAAAGCAGCATTTAAATTTGGACTATTTTTTTTAAAAAGTGAGGTCCAAAACACACTTCAGAAATAAATGCTAGGGAACATGGGAGCTTTAGTTTATTGTGTTTATAAGTGACAGTTTTCCTGCTAATTACCTGTATGTCATAAGCATTTGAATTAAAATTACCATATTGAAATCAAATCTGATGTTTTTTTTTTAAATTATTTGGTGTGTGTTGGAAGAGGGGTAGTCTTATACAGTGAGTATATCCCAAACTCTATATTTTAACTGGAAAAGTTGGGGGTCGTCTTATACGCCCACTCATCTTATGCCAGAAAATATGGTATGTACTGTAAATCGGTAAAATTAACAGTTATTTCTTATTACTCTGGATAGAAAACATTGCAGATATTAAACTATGTAAAGGTTAGTGATACTGTTATTAATAATGTACAGTTTACCTCTTGATATGACAGTTTCTAAACCAGTCCCATTAATGAAGGCTCTTTTTATTGTTTGTGTCTTCACATCAGTCCAGTATAAGCGTTCCTCTGCAGTATCAAAATCTACAACTGTTACATCATCAATATCAGGAACTGTGAAAGCTGTTATATAGTTGAAGTATGGATTCTCTATGTCAACACCTCTTATTTCTGAACGCCTTGCATAAAGAAGAAATTTTTTCATTTCTGTAAGAATAACAGATGCTATGTCTTAGATTTAGACCAGCATAATTTCATCACGATTACTTTTTTAACATAGTTGAAGTTTGCACTAATAAAAAGGATTATAATGTTCAAAGATATATGTATAGATGTAATTTGAGTACTCTTATATTTATATGAAAATTGAAAAGCCAAGAAGCATACCAAATCCAAGATAATTTGCATTGTCCCTTTATATATAAGAAAAATAAATGTTTTTAAAGAAAAAAAATGAGTAAGATATAATTCAAAGTCCAAGTCATCTGAATTGACAAATATTGTTAAAAAATATCAAAGTATATAACATCAAAGTTGAGTTAATGCAGGAAATATGTTATCTCTGAAATGTGTCAGCTATAAAAGTAAAACTTATTGAATTTATCATTTTGCTGTTTAAATAAAGAAAGCCATGACCCTCAGTTTGCCCACCCACCCCAGGAATAACAAGACAAGATAACGGAAATGGCCATTTATTAACTTGACCTATTTATTAATTTAACAGAACTGCAAACCAGGTGGGGAAATAGCCAAGGATGAGAGCAGCTGCAGACAGTGGTCTATCTCCAAGACCACCTCTGCAGCCTCCCCTAGGCAATAGCATCTGAGCCCCAACGGTAACCAAAAAATTGGCTTATCCATTCACTGGCCCACATCAGGAAGACTAGCATGAAAGTCTCTCTCCCAATGCCCAAGAATTAAAGAAAGGGGTTTATTCTCCATGCAATCCCAAGAAGTATCTCTTTCCCCACCTCCCAGGTCCCAAGGCCCAAAGAGGTGGTTTTGTAGACCTCTCTTCCACCCAAACGGTGTCCTAGGCACTCACTGAAATCCAAATTTCTTTCAAATCATGCCGAATCAACCTATTTAGACACCACCCAAGCCAATTTCTCAAGGTCCATCTGGAAACAGTATGGGGTAGATGAAAAAGTCCTTAGAAAGGGGGAAAAATCCTACCCAGCTCCAAAGCAACCACTGCACCAGTAACGGGAGGGTGAGTCAATTGCAAAATTGAAGTGAAAAAGCTGGGGGAGCAGACCATAAATTGGCTCTGGCCATGCCCCCAAAATCTTCCAGTCCCAGCATAACTGCTGAGGCATCTTTCAAGTCTTGTCTCCCTGTGGGTCTGAGCAAACTATGCATCTCATCCCAACCCTTTGTGTGGGAGTGG